TTCTGCGTATTCTCCTTTTGGGAGCTTTTGATTGTTATTCTCTTTTTGGGAGCGTTTTAGTGTATGTGTTGTGGTAGGTAGGTTTTAGGCTACCTTTGGCGTAGTTGTCCTTGCTAGATTCAGCGGTATAGCTATTTTTTTCGGTCGTGTGGTTGTTGTAGCCAGTTGTGTGGTTAAGTCCTAGTTTATATGTTTTTTTTTTTTATAAAATATATCGTTCCGTTTAAAAAATTGATCATTAATCAAAGCTGGCAATAGAGCCATGTAGAGATTATATTGGCACCCCATATTTAACTTCATTAGCACCTTGAAAGTAACAAATATTAATTCCACAAATGATTATTCTCATTCAAAGGCGGAAAAGAAAAGAAAAGACAAAGCAGGAAGATGAACATTTATGCCAACGTTTCACGCTACAGGAAGATGAACATAACATGGGGGCCCATAACACTGGTATTTTTGGCGGCCCAATAAACACAAAAGGCACTAAGACTGGATACGAATGGACTCATCATTCTGATTTAGTATAGGAAGGTGGCCTTTTTCCTGAAGGCTTTTGACCGTGTCATATAAGCACTGCTTAACGGGCGTGAACTCCACGCCCAAATCAACAAGCTTCTTGTTTGAAAATTTGTATGCCTTTTTCCTTGGGTTCTTTTCATCCGAGCACCTGCTTAGCAAAACCAAAGAGTTGAAATTACAACGCTCGTCTCCAAATTTCATTTTATTCACATATTTATGAAGGTCTTATTTTACATTATAAACATCCTAACTTTTATTGTTCATGGATGGTTTATTTTTGTCATTCATTTCTAAATTAAATCGTTTTTTAATAGATGAGTCGATGTGTTATATTTTTTCTTCTTTTTTTTGTTTAAGCAACATAACAATAGTAGAAACTAAATTGAAACCATCGAACTTAATTACTTGGTCGGGATAGGATACTCGGGGAAGAACTTGGCGAGAATCTCCACGACGTCGCCACGGTGGAGCACGCTCTGCGCGCATAAGTACCTTCCGGAAGCTTCGGGTGTCTCGAACAAGAGTAGGTGGGCCAACGCCACATCCTTAACGTGCACGTAGGCTTGGATGGAGTTGGCGTAGGTCTTGGCGGACCCCGTTAGATACTTGAGTATGTGAAGGACGCTGGCATTGACAGTTGGCTGAAGCAAGGGGCCGAGCGTGAGAACAGGGTTGACCACGACAAGGTCAACCCCTAATTCCTTGGCCGTGTCGCAAGCCGCTTGCTCGGCCACAGTTTTGCCGTAGCAATACCAATTCTAAGGACACACCACATTTTACAATAAGTTCTGGTATATATTAAGGGAGTAATCTTAGAGAATCCACAATGCTTTGAGTTCATTCGAAAAGATATACTCATTCTAGAAAAATATATACTTAAATGCAAGTGCAAGTGGACTGGATTCAACTAATGTGGCACGAAGAAGAAGAGATTTTGCCTACCTTTAAGTCTATTACAGACCCAAGTAGAGATCTAGTCTCTTTGCAATGCAATTAGTTTTGTTATTTTTATATATTATTGTCCATTTCATTCAAGATTTAGGTCAGTTTACATGTCACGTAGGCACAATGGACATCAAATTTTGCCCAAGATTTGATTTGGAGCTACAATGTACGTCCAATTTAAGAAAAATATGTTACAATTTCCAAGTACCTCCTTAGATTTGTAAAGATAATACTAGATTCATCCCAATGTGAAGAGAAATGTATCACAATGACGTGTGGCGTGTAATTAAGAAAGTCGAATGCACAAACCTTAGTGTTCTTGCAGAACTCAAGGTCACTCCAGCAAGTCTCGTCAACAACTTTATCGGGATCTCTGTTAGGATCCATATAAATTGCGCCGATGGACGAGGTAAATACCACACGGCGGACTTTAGCTTCTGCAGCTGCACGTACCACATATTTGGCTCCGTTCACCGCAGGCTCAATCATTTGTTCCTTAATTACACAATACACAAAATTAAAAGTTTAGAATATTTTACTAAAGGTTAGGTAAGCTACAGGGAATGCTACAAATTAGGACAATTGTGTCTTAATTAATGATTTAATGTTACGTTAATGTTAATATCTTAGGCATATTGTCACTTTATTAGATGTTGAAATCTAATTTTTCAAAGTTCGGTTTGTCCTAATTTCCTCCTAAGGTCATTTTCCAGTTGCATTAATATTAATTGGACTTTAATTTACCTCAATTGCAAGCATGGCCTCCACCAACTCTCTTTACCATTGTATTGTTCAGAAAAATATATATGTGTCTGTGTGTTCTTGACTTCTTTCTAATTTAATATGAATATTATAAGACAACCAAAGATCATTTTTCTAGAACAATCCACCGGAAAGACTAAAAAATGCTAAAATCAAAGTTTCATACCAACATTTTTCTTTATTTTTCNACTTATCTAGACTATAAATGTAGCATCATATACAATTAAAATTAAAATTAGCTGTCATATACTATTCTCACACCTTAACTTATTTTTATTACAACATTTACTTTTATCAATATAATCATCAATCTTTATTACAACATTAACTATATAAATATAATCATCAATCGTTACAATTAAAATTAAAATTAGCGTTATATACTTATATCACACGGTAACTTATTTTTATTACAGCATTAACTATATAAATATAATCATCAATTGTTATTCACAATCTCTAAAACAAAATTATCACCCAAGTAAATGTACTCACTGGATCATCAGTAACCGGAGAGGCTGTATGGAAAACGCCATCACAGCCGTTGATGGCCTCGCGCAAACTCTCGTAATCCGTAAGATCAGCCCTGCACAGAATCAACCTCTCCTCCGCGCCTTCCATCTCTCTCAAATGTGAGTTTTTCGGATCATCTACACAAAAAAACGAAAACAAATAAATAAATATAAAAACTAAAACAAAAAAAAAAAAAAAATCTTTAACAAATT